GAGAGAGAGAGAGAGAGAGAGAGAGAGAGAGAGAGAGAGAGAGAGAGAGAGAGAGAGAGGCGTTCACCTGTCCACAGATATTGATGTGCAACGGTGGGGAGTTGGCTGGCGGACCTACCGGCTCCTGGGGAAAGTGCGGCGGTGGACCCCTTGTCTGTGGGCTGTGCTGCGGTGGCGGCTTATATCCCACGCTGGTTCCACCCACGTTCCCGTGATAGGAAACCTCCTTGCCGGTCGGCCCGGAGGACGTGCCGACCCCGGGGCAATCCCTGTGTCGTGCATAGGAGAAATATATGAGTTACAAGAGATACGCAGGAAAAGTCACGGAGCCGCATCGAAAACACGAACGAAAAGTATGTAATAAACGGCGAGAGTATGCTGTTTTCCGCCAAGCGATAACTCAGTTATGAGCGCCGATATTAGCCGTATTCGTAATGAGATGAGTCACATATGCGACTCTGGAATGAGAATCTCGACGATCTTGCGGAAGAGTTTGCGTGAAAAAAGAACTTCCAAGTAGAACTTGGTTACGATATTATCATTATTTTTTGGGTTACGATAACGTCAAAATGACATTAAAATGAATCATGACTGATCGAAAAATATAAGTGCGAGTAATAATCGTTTTGAAATCATTTTGACGCAATTTTGATACTATTATGACTTTTCGTTCTACTTGGATCTTTCTTGAGTGTATATATATTTTTTTAACGAATCGAAATTGTATGGATATTCTTAAAATTTTATCATTCATTCGCGCTGTCGCTCGCTCCCGCGATTGGCGTGCCCAGAAACACAGAAATACCTGTGAATACCCGCGATTTAATTCAACATTTAAATAAAGGAAATGACGGAAATTCGACATTATGCAAATTTGAAAAAGTTGCGTTAATCCTCGCGCTCGTATCTCCAAGAATGTATTGATCCGCATGGACACAGATGATCTATTTCGACGTGTCTAATTAATTTTAGTTACTCAACTCACTGGCAGTCTTGTTGGGACGGGTCAAATTCGCGATGAAATCTTATTTCCGGGCGTAAACCCCGGTCGGGAGAGAGAGGGGGGGAGGAGAGGAGAAAGAGAGAGAGAGAGAGAGAGAGAGAGAGAGAGAGAGAGAGAGAGAGAGAAATCTCTTTAAGAACGGTATTCATAGTCGATGATATAAATATTGATTTGGATTTAATTCTCATTGTGTTGGTGTTAATATTAACACCAATATAGTGTGAATTTATAATACCTGGTGATACATCATGGATTTATATCAAAACTATCATACAGTGTGGATTTAAAACCTATGATACAAAATCTGACATTTTTGAAAATATATGTTTAACAATATCTTAAAATGTCATCACAAGCCGATATTCATAATCCATTCTTACTTCAAAATCATCTTAAGTAACATCTTAAGATATTAATATGGTTCTATTATGATTGCTTAAGACTGTACTTAAGATAGCCTTAAATAAATCATAAGATCTTGAAATAAATACTATGAATACCGATCTAATTGTAAGAATTATCCTCTTTCTTTCTCGTGTCTCCCGATTTTAGCGGGTTAGCAGGGTTAGCAGCAAATCGTTATTTGCAGAAGCTCAATAATTTGCAACGTAGCGAATCATTCAAGCTTACGTTCGAACAACTAAGCAAGCCTCTTCTCCTGAGCGATTATGAAAGCCGCAGTCATCAGAATTGAAATGATAAAGCGATGTCCGCGTCTTATTCGCGTTGTAAACGGCCGCTCTTATTTGTTGTTAAGATGAAAATATCGTCATAGATGAATCGCAAGTGATGCTTCCGAAATTTCGCATTCGAAATAAATTGCGAATGAAGCTTTTGCTTCTTGAAATTTTACACCGAGTTTTATACATAAATACGCGCGCGCGCACCAAATTTTATCTCTACCAAAATTAGAAGTGGCCGTATTAAAGATTCGAAAGCCGCGATAATTTTATCACTGACATATTCATCGGACTATATCCAATTTCATCTTTAATTTTCGGTCAACGGAAAAGTGATACACCGAATTTATTAACAAATGCGAGGCTGAAAGGACAGTATTCCTTGTGTATTTGATCTACAAGCCTGGATATGGCAAATAAATTGACCGTAATAGTTAATGATTCGACAAATTGGTGGTTTATTTATTTTTGTTTTGTCGCGGATTTATTTATCGTATAATCGAATCGATTGCTTTGTGAATGGCGTCATAAAGAATATACGTATCAATGAAGCCGAACTAACGTTACATAATGCACATGTAAAATAGTCTACGTTCCGTAGTACATGACGTAACAAAATGATATTTACATAATTTCGCCCGTGCGTTTGTACGGTTTGGCATTAATATTGCATATTGTATGTGTAATTTATTTAATGCATAACATAATTAATTCGTTGCATTATCATACTCCAACTTTCTCTCTAATTTCCGTGAAAAGGGACATTTTCATCAGGAATCTATTACGTTTTCTTGCCTCTAGTCCACTCACGTGTTAACATTCGTAAGATTTGACAGAAGAAATCGAGATGATCGCGGTCGTAAGAAAAGGAAAAAAATCTATACACGCGCGCTTTCACGAAACTGATAAATATGCGCGAGCATGCTAAACGAGATAAACTAGCGGAACATATAAACATAACACAGAAAAAGTTAAGTAAAATGTTAAAGCGGGTGTAATAAAACCATATGTTCTCAACGGATATTAGAGTCAATTGGCGAAGCTAAATGGTTTGCAAAGATGTCCAAGTCATGCGTCAATAGCGACGATCCTAAAATGGTGCAAGATTATAACATATAAGTTTGAACGTAATCACAGCGAGAATAGACTTCAAAACCGTCTAATGTCGAAAAAAAATGACATATAATTACGTGAAACATGTGTTACTTGTACTAACTAAATCGCCAATCAAATTTACCGTTCGTTAAAAATATAAAGATTTTAAATTATAATAACGTTTTCTCTAAAACAAAGGGAGACTTCAAAATAAAACTTTTTATAAAATTAAATGATGTAATTAACTGAATTATTCGTGCAACTTTGATTTTTGTTAAAAAACTTTATCCCGCAATTTTATCCCGAATATAAATATAAATTAATTTTTATATTAATTAATTTTTATTTATTTTTTTATTTATTTTTATCTATTTTTATTTATATCAGTTATATTTTTAGATAAAAAAAATTTATTCTATAAAATTACTTCTATTGGTATAATCTTTCGACAGAAAGAATTGCGCAAATCATGCAATCATGAAGGCAGAGATATGTGTTTGAATTATATACAGAGTGAAGTAGTAACTCTGTCCACTTATTTAAACAATTATCTTTTTTGCATACATATTTTTTTTAAAGCAACTATGTGTTTTCTTTCCACCAGTTAATTCATCTCATTATTCTGTTCATAAAAATATTAAGGACTATAAAAAAATTAATAGTTTATGAGTTATTTAATATGTTAATATATGCTAGAATAAAGTATAAAATATCTCATGAACTATTGATTTTTTGATATCTCACTATCTCAATATTTTTATATGCAGAATGATTAGAAGAATCATATTGTATAAAAAAATCATATAATTCCATTTAAAAAAGTGGAGGTGATTTTGAAATTTCCGAAATGCCTTCACTCATAGAAAAACTATTAGTAGTATATTGTACACCTCTTAATGCTGTACAACTTCAATAAATATATCATTTCATATCTCTAAAAATAGTGGAAATATTCTAAGTAGATAGAATTACTGCCCCACCTTGTATAGGCAGAGACTTAATAACGAGACGATTAAAAAAATTCAACACTTTTTTAATGTTTTCGCATGCAACTTGCAATTTTTAGCATGCAGAATGCCGCTGACCGACCATACTCTCTTAATCTCAATAATATATATATGTATATACATAACTTGCAAAAAATTTGGCATTAAGAATAAAATTTCTAACATTAGTTTTAAGTTTTTATTTACAAAACAAACCGATGATGGACTAATTCAATATTTACAATAGGATGCAAAAACGTCATGCAATTACTTGAGAATCAAAACATGTTTAACTATTCTCCTTAGATATCTTGTTAAAATCAAAGTATCTAAAAAATATTTTTTTAAGGGGATACTGGAACTGCGTATTACCGATAAAACTAGTTTTGACTTTTTTGTCGAATTTTTTCATAGTGGTTTCACAAAATAAAAATTCCTTTTTCACAATTAAAATGTATATATTAATGTATTTGCTAGTGTATTTTGTATTCAAAGTTGGAAAATAGATAAAAAATTACAGATTTCCTTATCTATTTTTAACTCAATATGACGACCAACGCTGAAGGTAAAATCCAGCATTACCTTAAGGGGATTTTAAAGCCATCTGTATTAATCTGTAGTAATCTAACTAAATATAATTTTTGTATAACAATTACTTTTTACTCTTTTATAGATTCGAAAATCCTTTTCTAGGATCAAAGTACGGATTACATATATATGATACATATTTCTTGTGGATACATATATTTTGTAAGATGGAGTTTATGCCAAGAAAAATTCAAAAATTGAGATCCTATTTCTTAGTCCAATCTAGAGCTGTCACATCATGACAACATTTGTTTCGTATAAAATTGCAATCTGCACTTACGAAATAGTTCACAAACTAATAATGCAAACAATTTGCACGAAGAAACAACGTGGAATTTTTAGAATTAGACGTCTGACGGAATTTTCGATTTATTTCGAGTTTCCTCAAAAAAATCGAATCAAAATATTTATCTTTTCGAGTTAAATGTTATGAAATACATAAAATAAAAACAAACAAAAGAATTGCTTATACAAATTTTCGTTATTGGATTTTCCAAATTCAATTTAACATTATACATTACGTAAAATTAAAAATTATTCGTTACTTCGTCTGATATGAAATAATCTCCAAGAAGTCACTATCAACTTCAAACTCTGTTATGAAGATCAAAGAACACTCTACACGAGAGACCTAATAAAAAACCATAATTAAACGTTCGAAATCTGCAAAGTTGTGAGATTTACATGTGTTTAGTACGAGTATAATAGTCTCTATAAGTGATGTTACATATATAGAACGAAAATAAGAGCGATATAAGAGAAAGAGAAAAGGAAAATCAATAAACCGATTTAAATTAAGGTAGACGTCGAAACGAGAAATGGGCGTCGCGCATTCGAACCGGTAGAAAAGGGTGCGAGAGCATGGAAATAAAGCGTGTCTCGCGGGCACGTCATCGCGGCGCAAACTTCTTGATTAT